TAAAATTCTTTTTTTTCTTTTTTAGGGGATACCCCCCCCCCCCCCCCCTTGAACTACTCTTGATCTGTTTCTCATTTCAGTCCATTGATCTTATGTAACGTATAATTTCATATTTACTTTTGCATATCCTATTTCTTCTCAGACAAAAATTACTTTTCCCTTCTCATAATAGGATCAAGTATAATGAGATACCTCACAATGAAATGGCTTGTCAGTGCAGCTCCACCATTTGGATGGAATGCAATCAAAGTAGTGACACCAGCTACAATACTTGTTTATGTCAATGCCATGCAGAACTGCCATTATAATTCCTGCAAGCCTGCAGTTGGAGTGACAACAATTCAACTCATTATCTTAGAAAACTAAAACTAGCCTAAGTAATAGTTCATGGTGAAATTGGATGCAAAGAAAAATGGAGCAAGAGTAAAACCATACAATCATCATACAGAGATAGAACTCACAAAAAAGCAAAAATAACAAGAGCAGCAACCCTCTGAACAGGCTTGTCCAAACTCTTCCTACATTTGACAATATCCTTGGCATCAAATTCAAATAAGCCTCCCTTATTTCGAGCTAGTTTCTCTTGTTGAGGCTTGAACAAGAGCACAAACCCCAGAAGGAATCCTGACATAAATCCTCCGATATTCGCAAAATTATTGATGTAAGGTATCAGTCCGAGGACAAGATTAGTCATCAAGATTGTCATGGTAGCCACAAGCCCAGAAAACTGCAATAAAAAGTAGGGAGATGACATTCTATACTATTTGACAGCTGAGATGAGAGGGGAAAAAGCTACAAGACCTTATTGGTATAAGATTTCCAATTCCTGATGAGGCCAGAGAGCAGTGTACCAAGCAATCCAACCAATGCACCAGAGGAACAAACTGATGGCCGATCTTGAACGAAAAGTGAAGCAACTAGACTACCAGTAATAGCTGAGAGTATGTAGATAACTCCAATCCTAACTGCAGAAATAGGAGCTTCAATCAAAGATTCAATAAACAACTTTCTCAATGAAAGAACATATTATAAGAATATTCTTACATGATCCAAATTCTTGCTCTAAGTGAAGTCCCACAAAGATTACTGAGGACAAGTTAATGATCAGATGGAAAAGCCCTGCATGTAACCATGGGCTTGTGAAGATACGCCACAGTTGTTGATTATTAGTCAACAATGTCTTCTGAAGTGCTCCAATTTCTTCCAACCTACATTGGCAAAAGATTTCATATCTGTTACTGGCAGCAGAACTTCCTCAACATAATATCATGTGCAAGACACAGTGTACAGCTCAGTAGTTCTTTGATGCACAGTTGGAAAAATAACATGTTTATATTAACATATAGGATAATATGCCTTAGTAAATAACCTCAAAGAATAAAGTAGCTGGTACTGCAATTTTCAAGGCAGATAGGAAAAGCAGGTAATGTTTAACTTGTTTGAGAGGGATCTAGAGATCAATATGTTAGCGAACATGGAGTGTGGATTAATCCTGAAGAACTGCCATATGGAGAAGCCAGAGGTTCCATAAAGAACCAAGAAATATTTCAGAAACAGTTCATCACATGTGTATATATGCAAAGTGCTTGTATACTTGATGCAATAAAATTTTAGGATTCTGAAATCAGTTGGATGCATAAGAAATATACAAGACTGGCATTCAGCAAAGTACCAATTGCCGCCATAAACTACATTTCAGGAGATACGAATCAATATAAATCTCAATAAACATGGTAGCCACAACAACAAGTATACAAATTCAAATTCAAGCAACAATTCATATTGATTCTATTGATAGCAACGTTTTCTCGTCTAATTTCATAAAGTAGTCCAAATCCATAATATACCTACCTAAGAAAATAACTCACAGTTCAAACGATGCATTGAAATAATCGAATCGGAATTTCAGGATTATCAAGTAATTAAGACAAGAAATAGAATGATTAGTGAAAGAGAAAGAAGGAACTGACGTAGAAGCAGAAGGACCGAGCAGAGGATTCTCGGAAAGAGGCTGAAAAGAGAACCTACGGAGAGGTTTTAGAGCACAATCTCCATGAGAATTCTCCCAACAGTCGTTAACAATCATTGTAACAGTGAAAGCGCCCAAGTGAAGGATCACAAAGAGAGAAATGATCCATGTGTTTGCTCTCTTCTGAGACAAGGGCCTAAAGAAGGGGAATGGAACTCTCTCATCGGCCGTCATCTCAGTGGAGAATGTCGACGCCATTGGAGCACATTGTTGCTTGATTTCAACCTGAGTTTGGGATTTCGAACTATCTGCCATTATTTTCTTTAGTTTTACACATTTGCTCTCCTGGGTTACTAGAATTGAACTTAACAAGTTGGGTATGATCGATCCATGTGAGATTCGGGGGTGGTTGTTGTTTATTGGCGGGAAAAAAGAGGATTGATTCACTTTTCTCACTTACATTTCCTTACTCACTCTGTACAATTTTTTATTTGTCATGTTGCGCTTTTTTTAAATTAATCAAATTTTACATTAATTTGATATTTTAAATAAAAAATCTAGATATTCAAAAACTATACGAAAAATACTATAAATTGCAATTTTTTGCATATTAATATGATTAAAAAATACATCATAAAATGCTAGTCAATTTTTTTATAATTTAACTCTATAAAAGAAAACTATGACAATTAAAAGTAGACGGATATAATATTTGTTTAACTTTGTGGCCTTTGTTTTCTATTTTGTTTTATTTTGGGCTGAGCCCTATGGTGAACAAATTTATTTTACAAAAATCACACTAATTTATGAGTTAATTATTTAGATATATGTTAGTTTGTAACATTACTAATTTTTATTAAATCTTGTTATGTTCGGATATATGTATCTTCAAATACATAACAATTTAGAGTACCAAATTAGTACTCTTTTTGTCCAACAATATACTTGTCTATATTTTTTACTTTTCACACTTCTTAATAAATTATAAATATCCAACAATATACTTGTCTATTTTTTTTTACTTTTCACACTTCTTAATAAATTATAAATAGAAGGTAAATTTTTTTATATTTTGTGCTATCTCTTTTTTGTTTTCCTTTTGAATTTCGGTGTTTTCGGACTCTTCTTTTACCTTTTGCTTTGTTGCTTTACTTTTAATAGATTTCATACATGGTTTCTCGATTGCTTCTGTTTTTAGGCATTCATCTGTTTCAATTTTGAAAATAAAATTTTGGCCAAACACATATGCAGATCCTTAAATTTGTCTCTAAATTTCATTTTGGCACTCCAACTTAACCTTGTTCCATTTTAACCCTTTAACTCCAATTTTTATGTTTCATTTTGGCACTTCTAAGTGATGCGGCAGAGTGTGTGCATCACACTTTCTCTAAGAGAGTGAAGACAAAAAAAAGTATTTTTTTAAAAAATAATAAAAGATTAACCCTTCAACTATATTTTTTTATGTACCATTTAAACACAAAATACTAATTTTATGATTTCTTTATTTTTATATATGTTCTTCAACTGCAATTTTGCATTTTAAAAATCGTCGTTCATCAGTTAGTTATTGTAAAAAATTCATATTGATGGATGATCATTGATTATTTTATTGAAAAAAAGTAACAATTTCTTTTTGCGAGTTTTCCTGTATTTATGCATGAAAAATAACCGACGAAAGTGCGCTAATTTTCTTTCTTAAGAAAATCAATGACAATCCAACGAAGTCTATCGAGTTTCAATATTTTTTTATAGTGTTATTAATTAGCAATGAACATGAGTTCTTTTTACTCGTATTTAGTTGAATGAAAAATTAGAAAGTTGGTATTTGAGTAAGTCCAAATAGATTAGATATGAAAAAAATATGCGGTGTTATTTAATTTAATTAGTTGTTTTAAAAAAGAAAATCAACACACTTTTGTCGATTATTTTTCACACAATAATGTACAGAAACTCTAAAAAAAAATTAATTTTTTTTTTATGTTCATCTATTATTTTATTTTTAAAAAAAAGATATGACGTTGAATTGTAAAATGAAAAAGTGAAAATGAAGAAAATAAATAAAAATGAAGAAATCATAAATTTAGTATTTTCTGTTTAAATGGTATATAAAATAGAGTTGAAGGATTAAAATGGAACAAGACTAAGTTCGCATGTCAAAATGAAAAATGGGGGCAAGTTAGAAGAGTTGTGTATGTGTTTTTAATTGGCTTTTGTGCCATGTTATGGAGTGTGAAGTACACACATCCCACTTTGTTGATTTTTTGGAAAGAAGTGTCTAAATGGAACATAAAGAATGAAGTTGAAGGGTTAAAATGGAACAAGATTGAGTTGGAGTGCTAAAATGAAATTTAGGAACAAGTTTAAGGGTCTGCATATGTATTTGACCTAAAACTTTCGAATTTGGTGTTCATTGATTTTGATTGATTTATTTTTTGTGTTACAGCCTATATGTGTTACTTATGTTTTGAGATGGATATTGATAGTTTAATTTACCGTGGTGGTTGACACCTGAAAATTTAGTAATAGAATTTTTTTTTATCTGTTACGTTATATTTCAGAATTAAAAGAGGGCTTGTCTACTGAAATCAAAAGAGCTTTCCTTTATCAAACACAACAAATTAAGAATTATCCAATAGCTCACATCAAGAAAATCATTAAGGGTAAATCACCACACCACCAAAATATAAAACTAAAAATAAATTGAAAAGTTTAAAGAAATATATTTCAAATGTGTATAATGGATGAAAGAAAATAAAGATTGAACACATCTTCACCCTTTTGAGAAAGAAACTAAAAAAAACAGTGTGTGAAAATAAAAGGAGCACGTAAAGTTTAAATTATGGCTCCACCTTAGAAAAGGTAAAAAGAAACTAAGTGTTCATTTGGATAAATTTATTTTTAGGTATTTTTGACTTTTAATAGTTTTTTAATTTTGAAGGTGTTTGAAAAAGTTATGAAGTGCTTTTTAGCAACCCACTTTTAGGCTAATTTTTAAAAATAAATAAGTCAAAAGTCCATAGTAAGGTACATCTACAAGAACCAAAAAGGATGTTAATCAGATGCTAAAGTCACAAACTCTATTGAAATATAGACCGTTTTAACATTAATATTTCATCCATATACATAAACTTGCTGCAATCCCTCACTTCTCCCGAACCCTAACCTTTTGTCTAACGCCATACTATAATAGGCCTCTCCTCCCTTTTGTCGTTAGATCCATTTCTGCTTCTGCCATCCAAACTTCCGCCACCGCCACAGACGAATATCAAGGTATTTATATTGACATTTTTTTAATTTTAGTTTAGTTTTATTAAAAGATTAAATTTTGTGGCGGTGAATATAGCGATGAAGCCTCAATGGAAAGCTGCAATTGATTTCAAGTGGATAAGAGATAATAAGGAGTCAGTTGCGGTTAATATTAAGAATAGGAACTCTAATGCTAATCTGGAGGTTGTTCTTGAGCTCTATGAGAAGTTGCTCAATGTTCAGAAGGTCCATTTTCTATCTCACTTATTTACTCTTTTGGCAATATAGTCTAAATCTTTTGGTCTTTTGTATTTATCTTCAAAATTCATTATTCAGTTGTGTTGTTAGTTCAATATGTTAAATTAAAAATTTAACTTATGTGGACCTTTTGGTCAAATGATTCTGAACATTAGCAACTGCATCACTTATAATCTTCGTGAACTTTTAACATTTTACAGACATATATACATGCTATAATGGAATTAATGGAAAATGGATTCCAGAAGAAGTGTATGTGACTCTATAATGTGGATAACCAGTCATGATGTAAGTTCGAAAATCCTTTATGAGGAGTTTGAGCATTTCTCTTACGTTTCTTTCCTGTTTTCTTATGGTTGGTTCTGGGAAAGTTCCTGCCTCCCTCCTGCCAACTGTCTAAATTGTGTTTCAAAGCAGTTCAGAATTAGTTTTTCTCCCTCCTGCCAACTTTGTAAAAGAGGTTTAGAATCAGTGTCTCTCCCTCATGACAACTGTGTAAATTGCATTTTAATGAAGTTCAGCATTAGTGTTTTTTACTTTTGGCAAAAATGATTGCGGATATAGGTATCAGGTGGCTGTTAATTGATTAATGGATGTGTTCTGATGTGTACTTCTTGTAAATTGCATTTATATTTCAGATATGACCATGTATTCTGTAGAGATTCCTTCCTCTTGTCATATTTCCCTCTCCTTTGCATTATAGGATAATGATACATGACAAAAGGAGCAGAATTTCTGCCCATTACCATTATCTTGATTATTACAAAGTTTTTTAGTATTTTGTGTTGCATTCATAGAGCTTCGATTTGTTCATAGAAGTAACAGATTCACATGCTTGAATGATTTTTTGTAGAACTAGTTATTCTCAATATTAGCTAATTGTTACTCACAGATAACAGGAAGTTAAAAAGTTACGAGCAGAGAGAAATGCAGTTGCAAACAAAATGAAAGGAAAACTAGAACTCTCAGAACGCCAGAAGCTCTTTGAAGAAGGTTCGTTTCATATTTTATGTCCACCTGAAGTTTTTGGTGGCTAGGTTATTCATTGTGTGAATTGTATTTTTCATCAGGAAAGAATCTGAAGGAAGAACTTGTTACTTTGGAAGAAGACCTGCTAAAACTTCCAGATGAGCTGCAGCAAGAAGCACAATCCATACCTAAGATGACACATCTAGATGTTCCATTAGGAGGGGAAGATTCTTCAACAGTCAGGAAAATGGTAATTCTTATTTGATATACACAGGTGTGCAGACCACATTATTTTGATCCTTCTCAAGCCAAGTGATTTGAGAAACGTTTGACCATGTGACTCAAATTTTGCTACAGATGACCCATATGTTGCTACATATGAGACATATGTTGCTACAGATGACTTATCTGTTGCTACAAATGAATCAAATGTTGATACATATCACCCTTATGTAACAACATTTGATTAAGTACTTGCTCTCAATATAACGTTACATCAATGTACTTGCTCTCAATATAAGATAACATAACATAACTGATAAAATAAAACATTGTCATTAATTACAAACAAATTGTCAAGACTCCAAGCTCCTAGATACTATCCCAGCAACCCAAATCCATTGCATTCGACCAACTGTGTTGTCACACAACAGGGTTTGGGGAGGTTGAATTGATGTCCTCGTAATCAAATGCTCAATAAATGCAAGCGAATATGACATGCACGCGGCTTTGGTGTCATCTGTTACCATGTGTTCCAATCGACCTTCAAATTTCCATGGTTCATTGAGGAACTTATCTGGTAAATGCTTCATTATTCCACTTTGCTTTAACAATTTTGGCAACAACTCGAACACAGGTTGTATGAATGTAAAAAACTTGGCATGTTTCATACCCATCAGGGAGCAATCATAAACATTCATGCGACCCTCGTGCAAGAGGATCTCAAGAGTCACAAAATGAGTTTTGTTCATGTTCATGACTGCCAGAATCCTTTTTGCACCAATACAATCCTTGCCTCCAAGATATGGTCTAATGCCCCTAACGTAGTTAATCATATTTTCATCTCATTCAAACTCATTAATTAACTGTGTAAAGCTTCTGCCACCAATTGTTGTTGCCTCCTCGCTGATTTAGTCATACCTTTGTTTGAAGCTGGTATAGAAGTTGAGATCCATGATTCTATCTGTGGAATCATAGTACTCAGGGTATCTCAAATTCCTCTCCCGCATGAGGCAAATAATTTCATCAATATACTGAAATAAAAAATAATATTAAGGAGTAAAGAAGAGTAATCATTAAAAAGATAAAACAAACGAACATTATAAATTGAAGGTACTAGTAGAGAAAAATTACCCAGTCTTCCCACCAAATATTCATGCTTGTCATGGTCATGAAATCTTCTCCACTAAAAAAATACATAACGTATTGTACACGCAGATCCTTTCCTCTCATCAGTTCCACCAGTTTGTTATTTTGAGCTATAGGCACACGCTTATAAAGATTCACATGCTTGAGCTCCAGCAGTTTATCTCGTACGGCCATTGGCAATTCTCCAAATATTTTTCTTCTTCAAATTTTGTATTGCCTTGATAAATGATTTTTTTCTCCTCTTGGCATGTGAAGTAAATGGATCCCGAACATTCTTTGATGGAATGACCTTAACCCCCCTCTTGTTTTTAAATTCATTCATAGCATGACTCAATGTTTTAAGATACATGATAGAATTTTCATCATGTTTCTTGCACTTTTCACATACAAAGTCAGTGCATCGACTACAAGAGGTAGCCCAACACTTTGTACACCAAAACCAACACCAGCACCAACACTAACACCATCCCTTACAGCCACATCAACCATATCATCCTAATTAAAAGCAACTAACTATTGATCATCAAGTCTTTCTCTTTTGATGTTGTTTCTCTAAGCAATTCCCTTTTAACATTATCCACTACAGGATCAAATAAAGTTTCAATCAACCCTAGAGTAATCAGATATGACATTTGCAATTCCTTTTTTGTTGGGACAAGTCATGGATGCACAACCTAAAATTATAAAAATAAGTCATTCGTAAGAATATTTGGGTTAGATGTTGTAACAAATGTGTCAGATGTTGCTACAGATGGGTGATATGTTGCAGCATATGGGCATCTGTAGCAACATTTGTGTTTTGTGTCACATATTGCAGCAGACGGATCATATGTAGCAACATATGGGTGTAATATAATAACTTACTGCATCATGAGGAGGGTTGAAAATATCTGGAGCATGGTAAACATTTTTTGCTCTCAACCATCTCAATATCCTTGGAGATGAAATCTCTTATTCTGTGGTAGTTACTTGATGCCTCAAATGAGGAATGACTTCAAATGTCCAAGCCTATATAAAAGGAAAACATGTCACAAATCAAATGTTGAATTATTCAATAAAATATAAAAAGATTAAGAACATTTATGTTTACTATGAAAGCCCATGGAAAGACAAATAAGTTATTGGTCTTTGCAGATAAAGGAGCCAACAAGTATTTGACAGTTAATTTGTAGATGTCATGACCCTAAGAATAGTTATTGAAAGCCTCAATATCCTCAGATAACTTCACCAATTTAAGGGCTATGTTGTTGTTGACATCTTTGGCCAAAAGTACATTATGTACAAACCAAAGTAAGCATAAAGACTCCTTATGCTTCTTTGGTGCATCCTTATCAGGCAACAAACATATCAATCGGGGATTTTTGAAGCTTGGGCCAACAAAGGACACCAATACCTGTTCTTCAGTTGACTGCTCCTTGTTTTTGCTTCTACTTTCTTTCGTCTCTGTGGCTGTTTTTTTATTGTGAATTCAGGAATTTTCTCAGAAGGAGAATGACATTTTAACCCTGTAACTATGACACTCTTTTGCCAAAGAAGAGTGGCATGCCACAATAATTAATCAACATCTCGTCCTTCTTTTCATTATTCTCAAAAAAGAACCTTCTTTTCATTATTCTCAAAAAGGAACCTTCTTTTTAGAAGTTCATAGACCATAGTCATTTGAAAACGTGCATTATTTTCTTCTGGTAAATTAAAATATTGACCAAAACAACTATTTCTAAAAAAATCTTTCAAATCATTTGCCTTCAATATGAGCGTGAAGGAGTCGAAAGATTTTTCCCATGGCTGACCATATAATGCTATCACCAGTAGCATCAGGCTGGAAATGAACAGAAAAAGTGTGCATTGACAGTTTTGATCCCATCATCATCAACAAATTCATTTTTTTCTTGTTCTTCTTCCTCAACTTCATATTTTTTTTCTTCTTCTTCCTCAACTTCTTTGTTTGTTCCTTTATCTTCATCAACTTCTTTATTTGTTCATTTATCTTCATCAACATCATTTATTCTTTCTTCTTCCTCCTCAACCACTTCTTTATTTTTTCCTTCTTCTTCCTCAACTTCTTTTTGTTTTCCTTTATCTTTCTCATCTTCTTTTTTTCCTTCTTCCTCAACTTCATTTTTCTTCTTCATTCTTCCTCAACTTCTTTTTTTTGTTCTACTCTTTCTCCTTCTCTTTCTTCATATTCTTTTTGAGAAAATTCTGGTTCTAGTTGAGAAGAAGAAACTGCTTCAGATGCAAGTTCTTCCAAAAGAGTGGAAGTCAAATTTTCAATCTTCTTCCTACAAATTTTAGTCCTAGGCCTCTTATGGATCATTGTGTCAGTTGTTTCATTTGTTAATACAATTTTTCTTTTGACATGAGACATTATATTTGTATCTGCAACCACACCACAAAATCAAATATTTCTTAACAAAAATAACAACAACCAAACATAACAACACAAACAACAAATACGATTCAATACCACACATGAACCAAACAACAAACCACAAAATCTTCCCTAAACCCTAACCTATTAACTACAAATTAATGTTTTTGAAATCAGATAATATTTCAAAAGGAATAACAACCCCAATCATCCTACAAATAAATAAGTGATAAACTACTAAAAACATCATGATTTAATACCAGTAAGTATTTCAAAATCCTAATTAAATTTTATCTGAGAAGATATCAGCGATAAACTAGAAATAATGAGGGCAACGCCTTGTTGTAGAAATATCGCAACAGATTACCACTGATGTTGTAGAAAATATCGCAACAACAACTAGATCTGTGAAGGAACGAGAGTATAGAGAGGAAAGGAAAGAAGAGAAAAGAAACCGGAAATTAGTAAAAATAAATTAAATTTGAAATATGAAACAACCTTTTATAGAGGAGAGGAGAGAGGCAAAATGAAGGACGATTTTTTAAACCTTTTTAATTATTTTTTTTGAATTTTGACAGTTCAAAGTGACATAAGTTGCCACACATATCCTTTCTGTTGGGGCACATGCAGATAATTTTGTGGTGTTTTTTACAAAAGAGGTTATAATATTGATGTTTGTTGACAACATATATAACCTCAAACATCAATATTATAACCTCTTTTGTAAAAAACACCACAAAAATATCCTTTATAATATTGATGTTTGTTGACAACATATATAACCTCAAACATCAATATTATAACCTCTGTTGTAAAAAATACCACAGACTTATTTGCATGTTCCCCAACAGAAAAGATATATGTGGCAACATATGTCACTTTGAATTGTCTAAATTTTAAAAAAAATTAAAAAGGTTTAAAATAATTGTCCTTCATTTGTTCTCTCTCCTCTCCTCTATAAAAAGTCGTTTCATATTCCAAATTTAATTTATTTTTACTAATTTCCGTTTTCTTTTCTTTCCTTTCATCTCTTGACTCTCGTTCCTTCATAGATCTAGTTGTTGTTGCGATATTTTCTACAACATCAGTGGTAATCTATTGCAATATTTTCTACAACAAGGCATTGCCCTCATCATTTCTAGTTTATCGTTGATATCTTCTCAGGTAAAATTTAATTAGGGTTTTGAAATACTTACTGATATTAAATCAGGACATTTTTAGTGGTTTATCACTTATTTGTTTGTAGGATGATTGGGGTTGTTATTCCTTTTGAAATATTATCTGATTTCAAAAAGATTAATTTGTAGTTGGTTGGTTAGGGTTTAGGGAGGGTTTGTTGGTTGGTTCATGTGTGGTATTGAATCATATTTGTTGTTATTTTCATTAAGAAATATTTGATTTTGTGTTGTGGTTGCAGATACAAATATAATGCCTCCTGTCAAAAGAAAAATTGTATCAACAACTGACACAAAGATTCATAAGAGGCCTAGGACTAAATCTTGTAGGAAGAAGAATGAAAATTTGACTTCCACTCTTTTAGAAGAACTTGCATCTGAAACAGTTTCTTCTTTTCAAGTAGAACCAGAATTTTCTCAAAAGAAATATGAAGAAAAAGAAGGAGAAAGAGCAGAAGAAAAAAAAAGTTAGAGGAAAAAAAATGAAGTTGAGGAAGAAGAAGAGAACAAAAAAGAAGTTGAG